CACCTACAATTGCAGTGTTTTTAGCGTCAGTTTACGAGTTATTTATGAAATATGCTGATGTTTTGAAACGATTTAAATTTTTGTAGGATTTTATTACTGTAATTAATTTCGTTTCAGTATTTGGCCCATTCTTGGTTATTTGTATGTTGTGATTTGTGACACACATTTTGAACATAAAATAAAATACACAAAAGCCGCGGTCATTAAATACAAAAATAAAAAAGTAAAAAGGTGAATAAAAAATGTCAATGGTTAAAATGTTTACCTTATTTGGACTTTGAACAATTACATGTACAATCTATGCCTTGTAAAGGATTATAAACGGAAAAAGTGAAAGTAATGAATCGCAATGATTTAATAGTCTGAATTATGTAACATGTTGATATATCGATTTAATCAAATTAAACTGGAATGTTAGCAAGTACTTGAAGACTTAATACAACTGTTGCGAATGATATTAAATTACTCTCACATCTCGTTTTATTAGCCAGCAGTCATTTCAGAACATAGTTAGTTATCTTCTTAAGGATTACCACATTACTTAGACGTCTGCTGTTGTCATCGAATATTGGCGTCGCCAGGGGCGTATCAGGAGGCAGCTTATCGATTCAGGAACTTTGCAATAATCATACGTCATAATTTCCGGGGCCAGCATAACAAATGGAGCATCGAAATGCAATAAAAATTACTGTCACGATAGATGATTTATAGTAAGAGAAGACAGTGTTTGGAGTTGTTCCAAAAAGTTCTTCGTAATACTTCCTATGATCTAACTGATGCAGCATTCAAATTAAGTGCAGTGGTTAAACCTTGTCAATACACATCTGTTTAGAATTCAAAAAGGATCTCTGTGACTGACTCCGACTTTTAGTGTTGCCAAAACAGCTATATTTTAGTTTTTCTGTGGTAGACGCTAGCAACAATAAAAGGTGGAAACTGTTTTGACGGATGAAGAGACTGCGGTGTGTGTGTTTTTATCCGTTGATTAAAGGTAGACAACGCATCTGAAATAGCGGATGTCTATAAGTAACGGTTCCTTCGCTATTTCGGCGAATTGAGATAGCCGCTTGCGCATTTAACACCTTTTTATTTAAGAAAAACAGTTTTATATGAGCGCAAATAAAAGGATTTTTTGAATTCATCAATAACAATTTTCTATAAGTTATTTTTATTAAGGTGCTTTGTTCAGAGTTTTAAGCTTTTATTTCAAGTTTAGTTTATACTGAGCTTTTTAAGTAGCTGACTAGTTTCGAACCATTGTTAGAAAGCTCACGGCTATTATGAATATATGGTCGGCGATACAAAGTGCGGTGGCAGTACTCGATCGGAATAAAACTAATTGTATAACAAACCCAGTAAAACCTGCTTCTTAATCAATCGATCCACGCGCTGGCAACATTATAGTCTATAATGTACATAGATAGGTAATCGTCAAAAATGTAGTTCATGTTTACGTAATAAATAAAATCTGGCACGAGGCTTTATCTGTAATTGGATGCTTTAAATAACTAAACAAGGTCATACCACTAAATCAAATATTAGAGAAAGGTAATAAAACAAACATAATAACTAAAATGTCTAGACTTCAAAGTAAAACCTGAAAGTCTGGACATGAATTCATTTTAGTCATACTGACCAAAATTAATAATGTTTTTAAATTAACTGACCCTGAAGTGACATGTAGACAGTTTTAATTGGCTCTCACCTACCACTGTTAAATTGGGCTAGGCGGAGACCGAGATCAAAAACAAAATAACTCCAAATGTCTTATATACAGTATGTAGTAAGTTGGTGTAAAACCAAGCGGATAACAAGGATTGTTAACATCAATATTAACACTCATTATACTTTAATTTGTTGTATTTGTATATTAAAACTAAATAATATGCAAATTGTAAAACACATTTACATTGGTAATGCCTTGAATAACAAATTCAATTTAATGTTTTATAGCATTGAAAGCTCACGATATAGAAAATGTATTTTAATTTGCAAAGCTTGTGTGCACAATTGTTTACAATCGATTTTGCAATAAATATCAATTCTCAATTGAATGTGTTCGATAAAATATCTTAACGAGGTGTTAATAGTTAGGTTTTACCGTAATTATTTCAATATTGTGTTATCTACTATTTGTATCAATGGCCTAAAGATAATTAGGCTATGATCCAATTAAAAAAAGAACAATTCGGAACCTATATCTTGACCATACTAAAAGGAATGTCAACTCTTATAATAATTTTTCAAAATTTAATTTCAATGAAAGTCGAAAATAAGTGAAATAAGAGATGTAATTATTTTTTTAACCGTGGGAACAATTCAAATACGTATATCTTTAAGCAGTGCCGATACCGTCATTTAAATAATGGACGTAAACAATTACAAGGCTGAGATAAAATTACTTGTAAAAGTAATACAAACAAAACTAATTAAGATGAAAATATTATTGTAAAATCGTAAAGTACACAAATAATAAATACATCAAGGATTTAATAATCTAAACATGGGTGGATAATTAATAAACAAAGTAAAAAAAATGAAAAAACAAAATGGGTCATTGCACTACATTTTAAGCAGAACACAAGCCTTATTATTAAGAACTAGCTATTGCTTGCGACTTCAATTAAAAATAATAAAAGCATCGCCTATATTACTCACTGACTCACTTTTACATGGTGAAATAAATTTTGTCATCGGCTAAGTAGGTTTTGAGTTATTTTAATAATACAAAAATACAAATCTTTTCTCTTCAAAATACTATTTAGTTATTAGTTATTAATAATAATAAATATACAAACAATATATTAGGAGGGAATTAATTCTACTAGTTGAAACTATAACAGGACACAGCCGTAAACAGCTACTTCCTTTTCAAAAATAATGACAGAAAATTTAATTTTATCAGTACTAAGGAAATAATAATTTGATCTCGTGTGACAAAGTTAATAAATCAATTTAATTTATTCCATTTTAACCTTAATCTTAATAATTATAAATGCAATAGTTTAGATGGACAGATGAATGTTTCTTACGAGTATATAGCCTAAACTGCTAAACGGATCTCGATGAAATTCGGCCAAATGGAAGAGCATAATCTGGATGAACACGTAAGTATACTACATAGATCAAATTTCACACCGACGGGGTCACGGGCGGAAGCTAGTAGTAAATACATAATTTTAAATTAATATAATACCGATGCTACTTTAAATTTAGAATTTGGTGTGGAATTCTTTACATTTAAGGGCAAACATATCATGCGGGTCCATGATCTATGTTAAGTCTAGGGGACATCATATTTCACATTTTTTTGATCCTCTGGCGGAGACCGTCTCTGTACCCTCCCTCTATTTTACGTGACGCTGATGAAATCTATGGTCCTACCTAAGTCAACTTCAATCTGTTAATTGCTGTCACTTATTATCGTTTAATTTGATAATTAAATATCAAATACTTTTTATTATGTAACAAACCTGTATTGAGCACGAGTCGTGTGATTGCTACATTAGTTGGCAGTTACGATGCGACACAGTAGGACTATATCAAGTTCAAATAAACGTAACGAAATAACAATGTTGTGTAAAAAACATTAGAGAATCTCTTTAGAGGCTTTACGTTGTCTTGATTGATTATCTTGTTCACGATTTGAACTACTTAAGTGAGCTTTAGAAGGTTGTTTGTTGAGTATTTGTTGTTCAAATTCAGTAGCGTTTATTTGTTGAACTCTTACGATCGTAATTCACTGATATTAATCGAATCATAACTACTATTCGCTTAATGTTTTAATTTGATACGAGATTGATAAATTAAATCAATTGATCAGTATTTCGTATTGGTTTTTATAACTGGCGTATTATCAAATAAATTAAATAACTAGCTGTGTATACTTAATAGATTTCTATTCGATAAATGTGTACAACGGAAATATCCATTCCGCCCGCAGCGTTTCGTTTTCTCCATTTTTGAAACCAAAATTTATATGATGTTTTTCATTACGCCAGAAAAATTATTGGGGTCGCTAATACCATAAAATAAATCAATGTGAGTAAATCAGTCCCATATTAAACATCAAGGTTTTCTAACGATTAGTATTAGTAAATTAATTTCTTCTAATTATTAACTAAACATTGATTGCTATTGGATTATGTTCGGTATAAAATATGCTTGCGATTTAACGTCAGGTGCAATTAATACGTTTTTTACAGGCTTAATAAAGGATGTATTGCACCGTTAAGGCTATTTACAAGTTTTTTAACGCTACTTATGAGAAATGGTTTCAATGAGATTTTAAATAAACGATAGGAAGTTGCGGCGTTCTTATTTTTTCTTAAATCTTTTTACTATTTAACACTTATTTTAGTGTTACTTTTATTTATCTGAACTCTACTTGAATATCGGTTAAATACCCTGATCGCAGTCATCCCAGAAAATAATGACTTATTACTATGGAATATTACAGCTGACATTAATAAAATTTTACAGAAATCAAGTAGAAATGCAACAGAAAAAACATAAACAGCCAAACAAATAAACGCGGTATAAAGTAAAACTTGGAATAAACTGAGTATAAGCAAATATTAGTACAACTTTTTAAAAGTTTTACATTAAACGCTAGCGCCATCTAGTTATAGAGTTGAAAATAATTTAGTTGTATTTTCTTCGAGTAGCATATCGTACTTAAAGCCTCAAATTGACGTAGTTTACCACAAGGTGCCGCGGTAATATGAATTAAAAGAACTGTAAAAAATCATTTTGAAAGTTTCAAGAACATTGAAGTGATGATTAAAATTAGGTAAATTTATTTGTGAAAATTAAAAACTGATTTCCTTTTGCAGTCATGAAGGACATACGCTATAAGCTGTAACCCATTATTGTTAAGTACAGTTGCATGACTTGAGCTATTTTATTCTGAAGACGATTTCTATTCTTATTAGAATTTTAAAAGTAAGTAATCTATCTTTGGTCTACAATTGGTGATTTTTTTAAATTAAATTATTAACTAAAAGGTTAAAAGGAACTTTATTACAAGAAAAAGACAATTGTAATAGTATAAATCATGAAACAAATTTCATTACAGAATTCTGGAGGTTATAAAAATAATTTAGAAAAGCAAAACAAGATATTACAAACGCTATATTTAAATTAGCACTAATTCATTGTTTAGAACAGCCGTAAACAAAAAAAAAGGTCATAATGACTCTAATTTGTAATAGAGGGCGATATTACAAGAAAAATTTCTATTTTACAAGAGATAATAATTGACTTTAGTTTAAACGTTACAATGACGAGAATTATTTATGTGCTTCGCTGTAGTGAGCACGCTTGTATTCTGTCTCAGCTAAATTTTTGAGACGTAAGTGCTCTAAGAAGGCGTCATAGTTCTCGAATTCTTTATGCTCTTTCGTACGGATGCCTTTGGGTAAGATCACGTATTGGCCTCCGGGGCCCCTCATGTAGTCTCGGCCTCCGGTCTTCATGTATCTGTAGTCCAGAATGATTGTAGGCTCGTAGTAATCGGGGTCATAAGTCTTTCGGATGATACTGTGAAAAAAATGTTTTTTAAGGATATAGCGATGATGAACGCGACATTAGTGACCTCTGTAGATTAAAACTTACACATTTTGTTTCTTAACTTCCGGTCCATGGTCCTGTAACAACGGAATTAACCATGATAAATTTAAAAACAATATAAACGTAGAAAGATATTGGCTATATCCATTATCTATTTTGATCGTACGAATCATACTAATATTATAAATGCGAAAGTTTATATGGATGGATGGATGTTTGTTAGAGTTTGTAGCCTAAACGGCTGAAGGAATTTCGTTTAATTTTTGGCATAGATGTATAAGATAGTCTGGAAGAATACATAGGCTACTTGCATTATTTTTTTTCAATTCCCCGCTGACAGATTCGCGGGCGAAAGCTAGTACTTAATATTAAACCATATAATTCATCTAGAGTCCATTTCCTAACATAATTTGTAATTGTAAAGTGTTTAAATATTGTCTTACATCGGGCTCAGCGATCTTTCTAGTATGTATGGAACGCAGTACATGAGGTCCCGGCAGCTCGTCATGACGGTAGTCGTCCAGATGGTCGTCCAGTGGTAGCTCGTAAAGACTCGTAAAGGGCGGATTGGCGGCCTCAGCTGGTTGTTGATCTTTATCAGCTACCGCCGCTGCCACCAGCAACGCCATGTATAGGAACTATTGAAATAATTCATTTGTATTTGCAATTATTGGGATTACAAAAGTCATTTCAGGTTGGAAAAATAGTAAAACTCTTGTTTTATTGGTTAATTTTGCAACATACTTATGATAAAAAATAGTTATGATACTGCTGCGGTGTTTTGCTATAAGATTTATTGAAGTAAAATAAGTTAGTTTAAATAAAATTATAATGAAAATAAAATAAAAACATAGTAAGTAGATATCTATTATCTAGTTAAACTAATAATTATTTTTATGTCCTAGTTCCATTAGCGAGATCATTAGAAAGTCATTTTAAATCACAATGAATTAAAATAATAATTGATTTATGGTAGAGTTAATTATTTATAGGTACTCACTTGACGCATGTTTACAACAACCTGTTGCTGAGCATAAAACACAACTAATCTTTTGAAAATATTGATCGCGGGTGTTTCTTCCTTTTTAAGCAATAAAACATCTAATTATCACACCGGATTTGTTGTAATTCAAACGAAGAATTTTGTCTGTAATCAAATATTAAATTGATTACAGTCTAATATCTTTGATGTAGTACGCGCGAATATTCGTAAAGTTTATTTTTGCTTGAACTATCTTGCTCAGTACCCTTGGGTCCTAACCTCGAGTTTCGGAGGGAAAATCGCATCGTTTCAATTAAATCTTACGAGTATCATAAATCGGAAAGTATAAATGGGTGTTTGTTACAATTTTAATCCCTTTCCTTTCCCACCATTTTCTTATACTGTAAGGATGAGAAGGAAAAGTGAATTTGAACGTGGAGGACACGCATAGGAAGTGCGTTTTATGTGCGTCACCTTCGGGGTGTCTACGGGCAGCGATCGCTGCGATTTCTCGGAGAATTCAGGTGTTCGGTCGCTCGTTTGCCACCTTATAATACAAAAAAAATTAGCCTAAATTGCTGAACGGATCTTAATGAAATTTGGCATGGATGTAAAGGATAGTCTGCTACACATGCTACCTATTTTTTTTTCTTTTTTTTTTAAATCCACAAGGATGGAGTCACGGGCATAAGCTAATTGGTCATAACTATTGTTAACAAAACAAGAGTAACGTGTTAATTCTATCTAATGACGTCAAATTTATATTACCAATGGTCGAAATTAAATAGCTTAAGGTTAAAGCTATTTCTAATCAAATCTTTTAAGTTTGAACTACTTCTCCAAATTAGCTAGTGTAATATGTAACGTCAACTTTACATTGCATTTTCGACTTTATGTTTCCAGCATTGAATATATGTAAAACGACTATCGTTGATCGTGGGTCCTTTAACTATTAACGTAAGCACAAGAGTATATTTATACAACTTCGAGTCGCATGTTAGGATTTTAGAATATGATATTACAGTTAGTGACCAAAATGAACGGATGAAAGAAGACTACATGTGGCAGAAATGCGAATGTTAAGATGGATGTGTGGGGTAACACGAATGGATAAAATATGTAATGCGTATATTAGACGAAGTTTGAGAGTAGCCCCAGTGGTAGAGAAGTAAGGAGTAAAAGATTAGTATAGTAATCGCATGTTGCAAGGAGAACGTCAGTTATAAGTGTGGAGGTACACCGGTTAAGGTAGACCTAGAAAGAGTGACCTATTGAAAGGTGACATGATCAAAAAGGGAGTGATGACTGAGTTGACTTATGATAGAGTTATGTAGAGGACAAGAACCTGTTGCGCCGACTCTACGGGAGTAGGATAAGGAGAAAGATGACGAGTTAGTGGAAAAAATCGCTTGCCAAATGAAAATTATACAAGAAATCAAAATATTTAATACATTGCTACTCAAAAAAGTCAGTGTGATTGTACAGGCAATTGTAAAATTTTGTCTGAATATCTCTTCTCTTCTTTGTCGCTTGAGTCTTTACAGACTCGTCGTGGTTATCACGTATCAGTGACCCGCTTTACAAGACGCCGCCACTCCTCCCTGTACGCTGCTTTTTTCGCACATTGATGCAAGGGTACGTCCATTGCCGTTCTAATCTGGTCGGTCCATCTCATAGGCGATCTTCCTCTAGGTCTGGTGCCCTCCACCTTACCCTGCACTACTAAACGTTCTATGGACTCGTCATTACGCCTGCAGACGTGACCAAAAAAAGTGAGTATCCGAGCCCGAACAATGGAAGACAGACGCTGCTTGATGCCGAGTTCTTCAAGTATTGACCGGTTAGTTCGGAATGCAGTCCAAGGTATTCTCAGCATTCTTCTCCAGCACCACATCTCGAGCGCATCTATCCTCTGTTTCTCGCTCTCTCGTAGGGTCCATGTTTCAGATTTCAGTTCATGTCTGAATATGGTTTATATATATTTATGTCTGAATATAGTATTTTCGAACCCCTGTGTATTTTAAGCAAGGGACTCTTCTACAAAAAATTATAAGCAATAAAGAATCAGTGGTTGTGTGTTAATAAAATACATTTACGACTTACCTAGATTTGAAGAAACTTAAAATATTTTTATTTTAGTAAAGTAAGCAAAAATCATTAATGTTAAGTACAGTTTAATTGTCCTAATTTGTGGTCCTCTGTTGTATATAACATTGACCTATAAAGATTTTAATTTATCATCCGTTCCAAAAAGCCCAACTGTTCTCTAAATTCCTTTTGATAAAAAAAAAATAATTATCGACCAATTGTCGCCTTACATAAAGTAACTAATCTTTTTTTAGACAAATTCCCTTTAAGAACTGTAGAAGAAGTAACTGAACTGCACCTTTTTATCAATAACTTTTTATGTATTATCGTCGTCGTCGTTGTTGTCCTATGTCCCCAAAGTGAGGAAGAGGGCGTCCACAGTGCGCCGCCTTATGTAGTATGTTAATACTCGAATAAATGAAAGGTACAAATAAAAACATCTAAGGTTATGCTTCGTAAAAATGTATATTTTTTCCTCCTTGATGTGTATTTTTGGTTTAAATTATTTTGTAATTTATCAAATAATAATACAAAATCACAATTAATTAAAATTATCATAGTAATATTTCCACTCTGCTTATAAACATTCCTTGAATATGAACAATTTATCAAAATCAAATTGAACAGAGTTATAATCTTCTTAGTGTTTATACTAAAATCCGTGATCGTCGTGACCATGATGATGTTCATCATGATGAGGTGAATGATGATGTATTTGTATATGATGTTTGTGATGAACATGATGTCCGGTATCATGATGGTGACCGTGATAATTGTTGTGCTCATGACTTCTGTCGTAGTATTCAATAACACGATGTTTGTGCATCGGTTCATGATGGTATTCGTGAACATAGTATTCGTGATCGTGGTGGTCCGGTTTGTAATGTTCCGATTCGTGGTGTTCATGCTCGTGATGTTCATGTTCATGATGACCATGATCGTGTTCATGGTGATTGGGTTCGTGATGTACGTAGTATTTTAACTCGTAGTGTACTGGCTCATGGTGTTCATCTTCATGATGGTCATCTTCATGATGCTCTGGTTCATGGTGTTCCTCTTCATGATGTTCTGGTTCATGGTGTTCCTCTTCATGATGTTCTGGTTCATGGTGTTCCTCTTCATGATGTTCCGGTTCATGGTGTTCATGTTCATGATGTTCCGGTTCATGGTGTTCATGATGTTCATGATGTTCAGGTTCATGGTGCTCTGGTTCATGGTGGTGGTCGTGATGTACATAGTGTTTCACCTCATAGTGTACTAGGTTATGATGGCCATGATCATGATGTTCTGGTTCGTGGTGTTCGTGTTCATGATGTTCCGGCTCATGGTGTTCATCTTCGTGGTGTTCCTCATGTTTATCTTCATGATGATCGTGCTCATGGTGAATAGAAACATATTGTTTAGATACTGGCAGATGATGATGTTCTTTATGTTCATCATGGTGATGGGGATCCGAATACTCAACATGGGCTTTAAATCTGTAATTAAAAATAGATTGGGTTAAATTACATGAAGCGGTTTTAACATACTAACATTTTAACAAAAGTCGTTTTGATCTGCATCGGTATTGTGGTTTCAAATCATAAGCATTTTTAGTTGTTTTGAATAAATCTTATTTAGAAGACTCGCCAATTAGAATATGCCCATGTTCTAAGACGGTTTGTTAAATTCTAGTTGATAGATTATGATATAAAAATAAAAATTAGGATAATTACCCGCTGTGTTTATCTGCGTGATACTTGACAGTACGTTTAAGGCCATCAGGTTGGATGAGCCAGTACATGCCCTTCACTTCGTCGCCATGTCTGGTTTCCTCTTGGCCTTTGTGATCATGTGTATGGGGATCATCAACTTGGTACGAGTACTCGTATGACGGATACGACTTGGCCTGGAAGTGTAAAGCATTGTGTAAATAGATCATACTATAGAAACTTACTCTCTTCACTATCTTCTCTCCTTATCTTTATATCGTTTTCGAAACATCTGCACTAACCTATTTTCTGTAAATGTTAATATGGTTTTCCACACCACTGGTTGTTCTTTTGTAAATACAAGACAATGCCCAATTTGAATATCATTACAACACAGGGCTTCCCCATTTTATTAAGCTACATCTCAGTATTCCCTGCTTTCTACTTCTAAGCGTCATTAACGCAATAGTCAAGGATAATTGGTAAAGAAATATTATTAGTCTTATAAGATATTTACGTATTCTTCATGATGCTCCGGGACATGAGATCCGACGTGCGAGAGCTTTCCGTGGTGGCCATGGTGTACCGGATGGTGGATATACACTTTGTATTCAGAGATCACGGGGTTGTCGTGACCCGACACCGCTAACGCGACACCAAACAATGTAAAAATCTGAAAAAGAAAAACAAATTCCAACTAATGTTCTTTTCTTACTGTTAGAAATTATAAAATGGGATTTTGACTATTGTTGTAAAGGTTTTAATGTCTATATTGTTAATCTCTTTCAATTAATAACAAGAGTTTATATTTTACAAAAACTAAATCACTTCATATAACTTCTATCGGTAAAAAACCATTAAAAGCATCTGAAGTAAAAGAATACCTTCAAAATCATCTTCAGTTGAGATCGTTATGTTCTTCTGAGTTCAACTGGTGTCAAATGAAGTATCGAATAGTTTTTATACTTCTGATAATATGATTATTGGCTTAAATATATCCTATCCATGCAAGTGCCATTATCTTCAGTTTCTCAAATTATACGTTCAGGGACGTGTTTACTGGGTAACTTTACTTTATTCGACCTCTTAATTGTTAGATTTTCTAATGTATATGATTACGTGTGAATTACTTTAATTATCGTCTCGGTCTAGCAAGCAGAACAGATTCATTCAATCAAAGTATTGATTTCGAGCTGAAATGATGTATCTGTGCATTCAATTTTGCTATATTAAAGTTTTCATAGAAGATTTTAACGAAATCCAATTTTGCAGTCTGGTGTCCTAAATTTGTAGGATTTTTTCTTGTTTTTATTTGTACTTATTGTGCCTTCAACACTTGAGAATACTAACGCGAGCAATAACTACTATCTTACTAAAAGTAAAGTCGTATTTGAATACGGATATCTATTTAAGCGAGAAAGGAAGGCAGGTATTATGTTTTTCCATTGTTACTTTACATCCGTCTTCCGTTTTACGTCTATTATTTCAGCAATATTAACATTGCAGACTCTCTTTTGTTTATTTGTCTGCAGCGAATTCTTAATCCTGCAATTTGCTAAAAAAAACAAATAGGCGTTTAATAGTGGTTTTTTGTTTTTATAACATTACTGAAATTAAAATCATATACATTTTTTAAATTCTAAGAATATCAATTCGCCATCAAGATATAATGAATTTTAAACTTAGATGTTGAGCCATATTTGTACAGAAAATCAATAGTAAAATTTTTTTCTTGTAATTTGTCGTTTCTGTATTTATTTGTTTTGCCCCTTTCTTGAATAAATAGCAAACTATTACACACGGTAAATTACCATTCCTATTTAAGGTTCTTATGATTGTATACCTTAATTCCAGCTTTAGAAGAAAAACTTTAATTCCAGATAGTACAGTTAATTATAGAGGATTTAAATTTTCTAAATGGATACTATATCCATATATTTCGAAAGCAGGTGATATTTGTTTTAGTTGGTACATCTGACACTGGTTAACTTATTAATGTCTATAAAAAAATTGTATTTTCAAGGAACAATCATTTATTCACGTATCTCTAAACACATAAAAACTAAATATCAAAATAAATACACTCAACCACATACATATTCACTTTAAACTAACAAATAATTTACAATTTTTAGTGACTATAATAATCGTCGTCGTCATAATACGGTTTAATCATGTCATCATGATGATGTTTAGCATGATCATTTTCGTCATTATGATGGTGATGATGATGATGTTTATGCGGAAGATGATGTTCGACCACGTTGTACACTTCAGACGTTGGATGATGTCCTTCGTAATGTTTAGGTCTGTGATGATGTAAATCTGAATATTCTACTACAGCATTATATCTGGAAATCATAACAGCAAATTTATTATGTCCATAACAATGAGAATTCCATTGTATTCGCAGTGGGAAATATGCGAAGAAAAAGTCTCAAGCCGAGCTGCAATAGGATTTGAATATCATAATAAAAGCCTAATTGAAGTCCCTTTCTCTTTACCACCCTTTTCTTATAAAGAGAGGTTGGGAAGAGGAAGTGGATTTGACGGTGGAGGAGATGCATAGGAAGGGGAAATATCCTCTTTATGTGCGTCTCCTCCTCCGTCGGATAAGGGTAGGCAACGCATCTGCAATTGCGGATGTCTATGGGCAGCGGTCGCTTCGCCATTTTGGCGATTTCAGGTGACCGCTTGCTCGTTTGCCACCTTATGTTATAAAAAAAAATACTTATGAATAAATTTCACAAATTACTCTATCTATGGAAGAAATAACTCCTCACCCACTGTCTTTATCAACGTAGTATTTTACTGTACGCTTGACACCGTCCGGTTGTATCAACCAGTACATCCCTTTGACCTTGTCTCCGTCCCTGGTTTCTTCACTTCCTTTGTAGTCGTGCGTGTGTGGATCTTCCACTTTGTACGAGAAGTCATATAATGGATAGGACCAGGCCTAAAACAAAAGCAATCACAAACACTAGGTTAGACGTTAAAGTTAGAGAGGCATTTTTTTATAAGAGAAGGGGGCAAACGAGCGACGGGAACAGAGAGGTGTGCCACGACGCATGGACATCCGCAACACTAGCAGGTTAAATATATCTGGCGATGGACTTAAATATCTTAAGAGAGTAGAAATCTTAAGACATTTTTGACAAAACTGCTTACATATTCTTCGTGGTGTTCCGGCGCGTGGTGTCCGAAGTGTGACAGCTCTCCGTGGTGACCAGTGTATAGCATTACGCTCTGATGGGAAACCGCGGAATCGTAACCAAAGCAGCTGACAGCACACATCAAGAGTATTGTGATCTAGGAATTGGAACAGATATTAGTAAATTAAAAAAGTACAAACCCAGTATAACCTTGACACTATAATGATAATTAAAGATACCTTCAGATATTTTAAATAAACAAACATTGACAAGACAAAAAAAGAAGAAATGTCATCTAATATATTATTCATTGTTCAATGATGACATGTTTGAATATTTTATAAAACAAATTGAATTATTACAAATAAAGTAAAAGGCAGAATAAAATATTTTACCTTGCAAACCATTTTTCCCGCTCGCATGTGGCTGTGTAGTAAAGATTTTAATGTTTTCAATGGGCCATTAGGTTTTTATACGAGAATAATATAAAAAGAAACTCAACAATTATCGCATTTCCTATACCGGTAGCATTACAAATGATTCTTAAAATTGCTCAGATATCCTTAACTGTGATTTCATTTTTGGTAAACATGATTGATGGCAATGATTATAAGAAAACCATAGATTTCACTTGAGTATACGCTTGTAAGCATAACATATGTATTTCAATTACCAATTTTTTTTGGACAGCTTATGATCGAAATTGTTACTAAATTAAATATTAGCCTTTTACTTTTACATCAACAACAAAAATGTAATAAAACACAAAAAACATTTGTAAAGTATATTTATTTTCAACTAATTTATAAAGTACGTTTAACCATATTTGCGTATAGTTGTCATTATGTTTCTATCGATAATGAAAGTTATTAAATATGATGCTGAGAGACATGGACGTGATGATGGGGAGACGAATGATGAACAACAGCATTAAAACTGAAATGAAATCGATAATAAAATCATTAGAACAAAACAAAACAAAGAAAATCAAACGAATTTACTTGTAAACTGTAATAACATCCAATAGGCTAGTACTTGGAAGGGAATCTTTTTGCTACTAAAAGAATAGCCAGTTGTTTTGTTTACATTGCATATTAGTTACATAGTTCAAGAGGATCGATATAATAGGTGGTTACGTGATCAATTACGATGCTACAACAATGCACGCATTACACGCAACATTATAACAGCGAAATTAAAATGAAACAAAGTTCGAGTGCCGAGTTTTAAAGGAAAATAACAATATTCTGATACACCCAAAATGCTATACCACCACTTTGAATATGGTTACTCCTATTCTGACTTAGCGTCAGCTTTCCTAAGGACTACCTTTATCGGGTTATTATTACGTTTGCAATTTTAGAAGTTAGATTAGTAGAAAATAATCTTACCCAGTATGGTCATCAGCTTTGTATTCCACCTTCCTGTATCTACCGTCGGGTTCTATCAGTTCGTAGCCTCCCTTCACCACATCTCCGTGACGGAACTCATGCTGGGATTTCACATCGCCTGTGTGATGATCATGGACGCTATAGGCGAAGTTATACTCAGGAAATGACTGAAATTGACAAAAGATATGTTTAAATGTATTTGTTAAAATCTGCAATAATAGACTTTTATGAGGTAGGTAAGCAAATTCTTGGCACACTTTTCTCTTATCATGTAGGAAACTAAACAGTATAGGTTCTTCTGTCTGTTTCTATTAACCTTAACATTAGCTAATCTACTTACGTAATGATCATGGTGGGCTGCGTAAGGCACTGGCAAGTGATGAACTGGCAAATGATGCAATAACGGCAAATGATGAATGGGCTCGTGGTGAATAGATTCGTGGTGAATGGGCAAGTGATGCACCGGAGCGTGATGAACGAGGACAGGGTGACTGGGACCATCGTGCTTGTTCACCTGCTGGTGCGACACCGCCAGATGATGTGGGTGATGATGATGAAATTCGTACAAGCCATGGCATGTCGTTGCCAGGATACAAATTGTTAGAATCTGAAAAAGTATCATTTAAATACCGCAAAATGTTATGATTAAAGTTTTAATGTAACTGCAAATAAAATCACAGGCGCTTGTCAGGTTTTCATAATTACATACCGAAGGCTCTTAAGTAACAGTTCATACTTAAATAAACTATAGCACTGGGTTAATTAATTAATTTTAATAATTTATTAAACAGTAACAAATTTTAATAACATTTGCTTTGAAATTCGATGATCGTTTTGATTTTTTTTTTACATTTGTATACTCACTTTAAACAGCATTATTTATTATTTTTTAAAACAAAACACTACCTAACATCAACTTGGCCAATAATGAACAGGTTTGTCTCTGCCTCATAAATATATAGACAGAATAATTGTGGGAATTATAAGAGCAAAAATCTATTGATCCATTTCTTAGACTTTGCGACATTATACTGCAATATCACCTATGGTATACTGTGAAAAGACTTTATTGTACGTTTCTGAGTAAAATACTACTGCGTACAAACTAGTACTAGGGATAAATTAAACAATTGATAATGTACTTTCAGGGTTGTTTATACAATGTTACGATTATCTACATTACGTGTTGGGATCATCAAAATAATCAACGTTTTAGTCAGCGAATTTTTGTGAGTGTAGATATCTTCTTAGACAACAGCCTAGATAAAAATGAATTCTATTTTTTTTTAAGATAAACCAACAGGAGAAAATTATGACACATACATTTTTACACAATAATAATACAATAAGTAACATGCAGATATTTTTTCCTAATTATAGGTTTACACGACAAACAGAAAAATAACAACAACAACAGTAACAATAACTAATAATGTCAATATATAAGTATGTCAATATTTAAATAGAATTTACAGAAACAGTCTTTAGTTTTGTTAGCAAGAATCCAATCAAAATTATTGTACGCAAATATAGTACAAGAGAGAGAAATTGATTATTATTGAAGGTCAAAAATTACTTGTGCGCGATTGCATTTTGCGAGTATAATTAAACAATTTGCAGGGCTATTACTTCATTAAATTCGCACAATTTGTAATTGGTATATTATGAGAAGAAAAAAATCGTATTAATTTAGCTACTATTTTGGTCATGGTTACCCAATTGAGTATATTCTGATTGCTTACAGTCTAGAAGTATGTAAGTATTCAATTGCGAATATTTACATGCGTCTCTAGACCTGATAGACTGTAAATAAAATAGTTAAATTTAGTACATTTTAATAAGTAGACTTGTCTATTTGCACAAAAACTCTATTAACTGTCAGTAATATAGAAGTCCCTATGTATGTGTTATAGCCTAAGTTTGCAAGTGTATACATAAACTTAAGATAAGACGGTTATACTTAATTCTTCTATCTTTAGTTTTAAATTTAGGCGACTAAACTTATGTGTAACCGTGGCTTCATAGCCACGGTTACGTTCACGTTCATACGTGCAAGCATAAAGTATCGTCAAAATCCCCTAAGTAATCATTTAACTAGTCTATCTTTAATTTGAAACACGCAGAATCATGTCATGGTGGAAATAACATGAATTGCTACATTTTCGAGTGACCGTAGTTTAAAGTGTCACTTATTGCGTGAATTATGAGAAACTATATGCTGTTAGTATCAAGTATAATCATGTCAAAGCGACAAAAATTCATAGAACGGACCCGCGGCTGTTACACAAACACGAGTAATGTAACATAATTACGTACACTGGAATATGTGAACAGCAAAGTAAAAAGGTTCACAATGATACAGTTCTGCAAACAGATTTTGTTATGAAATACATTACCTATAGCATTTTGTTCCTTGATTAATCAGTAGTAAGTTAGAACCGTATTGTTTTACTGGCCATTAACACAATATTTTTTTATTTAAAGATGTAAATCTATAATATAATAAAGCGTGTGTTTACACACACTAGTTTGTGGCGTAGGATATCAGCAATCACAGCGTATTTTTAAATAATTCTTTCTTTAATAAAAAGCCCTACACTTACGAAACGCTTAATGCTATATATTTTTCCGCTATTAAACTTGGGGGATAAATAAATTGGAAAAAACCATTATATAGGAAAGGGACCATAAGCTACAAGTTGCTAGTAAAGGAAGCAAAGTTGTCATTTATGCATTTAAATTTTATAATTTCATGCGGACGAAGCAGCACGGGAACAGCTAGTCTTATATATCTTCACAATCTAATATTATAGTTGTACAAAAACCGTACAAGTAGTGTACTTAAACTACGTCATATTTTAATAATGCTGATTAATAAAGAGCTTAATTGTAGAATTAATATTAGAATAATTAAGTGATTCAAATCATACCTTTAACTTTAATTAGGGGAAGTGGACTTTCAATCTTATCTTTATTGTTACATCGAAAAGATCATTTCTTATACATGTCCAATTGTTTCTCTTCAGAAATGTTTAGAGCGGGCACACACCTTTGATTAATATATCGCACAACAGCTATGCAATTGTCCATTGTTATGCAGCTCATTAAACTGTTTAGTTGCATAACTAAAAATAGAATAGTGTGTGCACCTCCATATACACTCATAGGAATCAAAGCGCGACTAATCAGTTGTGCGATAGTTTAGTCCACGGTGTGCGCTCTCTTACAACAAAACTAACAGTGTGAGAGAAAAGACGTAACAATCTACGTATTCTTTGTCGTAATTCGTAATAGTTTCTGACGAATGCCAGCAAACTGACAATGGCTCTCACGCACAATTCGTGACTTAGGACTCGTTCACACTTATTACGATGAGATAGAGTTTTAAATTAAATAAAAAGTAGTTACACCTAATTTCAACTGAATTTAACGCCACAATTAACATGAAGATGCAAGCAAATAAAACAACAGTTGTGGAAAATTAATAATTAAAAAAGAAAAAGTATCCAATGCAAAAAAGAGGAAAGATACGTTTTTGTTGTCCGTAAACTTTTTACGGAAGTTTTAATACATCTCGATCATTCATTTAGAAACGTATACAAATATTTGTAAAATAGATGTATATACTTTTATTTATATAGATATGAAAGCAATGTGAACGCCTTACACGAAAGCATAACATAATGGTTAAGTTAAACTCAAGGTCGTTTCGCATTCGACTCATTCCATCAGTTATCTTAATACTTTAATAGTTGATTTTTATCTCTCGTTTTGGTTTTATTGCTAACAATTGTCTACGTTATAAACATACAAACAAGTATAAGATCTATCTGAAGTCTGTGGTTAGGAAATTGAAAAGTGGGTTTGGTTGGCGCTGGGACGTTTGATACAGATAATGCAAGGTAACGTGCGAAAGCTGTTTGACTATTGCAGTACTGTTAGGTAATTTGGTCCTAATCTACATAGTATAGTACGGTTATGCAAGTGCAGAAATGTGTATTGTTAAATTTCTATGAAAATGATAGAAAGCTGGAGCGGAGAATCGAATGTAAACTTTAAAAAAAGATAAATTGGCAAGAGAAAAAGGTTAAAATAAACAATATACAGCCTTGCAACGTCTTGATGATTTTATATAAAATCGAAGTATTTAAAAAAAAGAATAACAAAATTCAAACCATCGTTCTATTTACAAAAAATATGAAAAAGAAAAATCATATAATTGGAGGCTTATTACATCGCTAACAACATGTACAATGTACAAATTTACAATTAAAAGTCAGATGGTCTAGAACGATCTGTTAAATTCTCTATTTTTTCAGTCCATTATGTGATAAATTAGTGTATGTGTAGAACTACAACCAAAACACCAAAGGGTCGCGGGAACCCAAAAAAATATGTGTGCCGAGACCGAGACATTCTTCTCTAACATTGTGTACTAATACAACACGGTCTCTCCGAAACGTCATCTGTTAGTACGCGGTTGAAACTACGCAAACAATTAGGTGTACTATGATTTAGCTCTGTTACGTTAAACTAGCAAAAACCTAATTGATTTTTTTGGGCATTAAATATTCTATCAAAAGAAATTGAATGTCACAATCAAGTATGTAATAAAAAATGCACCAATTATTATGCTTATAATAGAATGGACAATCAATTAATTGTTTTTTTCTATATATCAAAAACATCTACAAATTTATTTTATATCTATGTTTATTTACTAGTTAACATTCACAACAACGTAGAAAAAATACTAATACTTAATTTATTTCATTGATCTATTCTTATTTAAATAATCCCAAGTAGGGTTGGCGACAGGCAGGGGG